TTGGGGATCAGCAGGAATTTCTCCATGGAAAGGGCAGCCAGGCCTTGGAAGGAGCTGCCCAGAGAGGTTTGGAGTGTCCATCCCTGGAGGTGTCCAAGGAATGCCTGGATGTGACACTCAGAGCTCTGGTGGGGATCAGCCACGGGTTGGACCCGATGGTCTTTGTGAAAAGTGCCAATCACTTGGTTTTTAAAATTTTAAAAGTTTAATAATAATAAAATGGTTATAAAAATAGTAATATGATTAGAGTAATAAAGTTTAGAGTCGGGGCGATTACAAGACAATAAAAAGCAAAGAATTACGGACATCTGGATGGTCTCGGACACTAAGTCATGAAAAGTATGCTTTGTGAACAAAGGAGTAATCTTAAAAGCAATAGCCTGTTGCATATCCACATATCCTTTATGTTTATGCATATATTCTATTTAAAACAAGAAACTTTGTCTGTTGTATGTTAACTAATTCTATTAATCTTTATGGCGTTTTTGAGTCTGAGCAAGACCTGAAGAAATTAGCTTCTTCTGATAAGAAACCTTAAATTCCTCTCCTTGGGAAGATTTAGGTGTTCCTCGAAGTGAGTATATTATTCTTAAAAAAAAAAAAAAAATCTCCCCCCCACATACATAGCTTTCATTTTAACTAGTAAAATCTATATTTTAACTACAAAAGAACAACTAATCAATATAACATAATACATGTAGTAACTATCTGCGTAGAGCCGTATAATATGCATTAATCAATATAACATAATATATATAGTAACTATCTGCGTAGAGCCATATAATGTGCATTAATCAATATAACATAATACAAATAGTAACTAGCTGCGTAGAGCCATATAATACGCATTTTTCACACTCTTGGAGACCTTGTCCAAGCTCAGGGACTCTGCCCAGCTCCCGCCGCACTCCGCCCTGTCCAGGGACCCTCCCTGGCCCCTCAGCCGCGTCCCCTGCGCCCACCTGAACAGCTCCAGCTGCTCCACCATGGCCGCCGCCCGCTGCAGCGCCTCCAGCCCCTGCCGCACCTTGTCCTGCACGGCCGGGGCTCCCGAGGAGGGCTCGGTGCTGGCCTCCAGCTCGTCCCACAGCCGCCGTCCCACCGCCAGCAGCTCCGCCAGCCGGGGGCCGCCCGCGCCCGCCTCCGCCATCATGGGCCGGGAACGGCGCCGCCGCCACTTCCGGCGCGGTGCGGCGCGACCGTACCCGCCCCGGCCGCCATCTTGGGGAGGTCGCTGCCATTGGCTACAACGCGGGGAGGCGCCATCTTGGAGAGGTCACTGCCATAGGGGCACAACGCGGGGCGGCGCCATGGGGAGGGCACGGCCGGCGCCATCTTGGGGAGGGTGCGGACACGGCCGCGCGGGGCCGCCATGTTGGGGAGGGCAGCTGAGGGGCAGCGGGCCCGGTGGGCGCCGTGATGGCCCCGCGCTCGCCCCGCGGCCGTGGAGCCCCCGGAATGCCGGCGGTGGGCGGGCACCGCGGGCAGCAGCGGCTCCGCGCGGCCGGCGGCGCTCAGAGGCCTCCAGTGCCCGCACGCTTTTCCCTGCCAGGACCTGCCTGGCGCACCGGCCAGCGCGGGTCCTGGCAGGGAGCGCTGGAGTGGAGGCTGGGAATCTGGAAAAAAAAAAAGTGGATAATTAGATAAATTGACAGAAAAGGTCAGTTTTCCCGGTGTATAAAAGGGGGACACAGTGGAGATCCTCAACAGTGCAGTACTGGGTGTCAATTTATTTGTTTAAGCACAGCACCTTTCTGTTCTCTTTTTTTTCTACAGTACAAGTAGGACATGTGAATTTAATTTTTTTCTTTCTTTTTTTTTTTTTTTTTTTCATTTATTTCACTCCTAAAATCTCTAAAATTCGACCAGGTATCAGGCAGGTTAGGGTTGAATCTGTGCTCTTAGGAGCAGATTATTTCCCTTAGAAATACAGGTGATTGACCTGTCTGGGAGCAAAGTATGGATGTAGCAACCACTACTACTGCTCCTTACTCCTGAGTAATTCTGACTCAGCCTCTGAGGATGACTCAGTTTACGATTTACTCTGTTTTCTTCGTGCCTGTGTCAGACTGTGCAATGAATTATTACTCACGGAGCCCAGGAGCACAGTGGGTCCTCCAAACCTGTCTGGCCCCATTTTGCTGGTGGGAGGATCTCCTGTGTATTCCCAGCGGGACAGCAGCCCTGGGGTGGTTCAGGGCCACATCAGAGGAGAGAGTCCCCAGGCTCCCTTCCTGCTGGAATGGCTGTCCAGCCTGGGAGAAATCAGATCCTTCCCTCTGGGCAGACCCTGGAATGGATTTCCCAGAGAAGCTGTGGCTGCCTCATCCCTGGAAGTGCCCAAGTCCAGGTTGGATGGGGCTTGGAGCAATCTGGGATAAGGAAGGTGTTCCTGCCCATGGCAGAGGGTGGAACAAGATGGGCTTTAAGGTCCCTTCTACCAAACCATCCAAGAATTCCATGATTCCAAGGGATGTAGAGCTGCTTCCCCTCCAGACCCCCCACAGCCCCTGCCAGATCTGACCTACACCCAAAATTCCTCAGGCTGCTGCTGGTTCCCCCTCAGATCTTATGGCTCTTACTCACCCCTGTTTGTCCCTGTCCCTCAGCTGAAGATCCCCACACGGACAATCCCTGTTTTGCTTCATCATCCTCAGAGCACCACACCACTGCTGAACACCCAAGGGGACAAAGGAGAACAGAGAGGGAAGGGTTTTTCCTTAAATACAGGCGTTTACTCATGTGTGTATCTTGTGGTGTGACGGTGCATGGACCAACCACCCCAAAGGTCACAGCAACATCCCCCAAATACTCCCAGCAGTGCAGGCTGGACAGGGCTTGGAGCACCCTGGGGTGGGAGAAGGTTCCCTGCTCATGCTAGGAGGTGAAATTTAGGGTCCCTTCAACCCAAACCATTCCAGGATTCCCTGATTCTGTTGGATGTTGACCCACAGCTGAGCCCAGCCTGGGCTTTCTCCTGCTCCTGCCTCAGCTCCGTGGGCAGCACAAGGAAAAGCAAGTGCGGGCCCCCATCCACATTCCAGCGGGAGCAGCACTCCAGAAATGGCCCAACATATCCTTGAACTTTTGGAGTCATCCTCCCTCCAAAATACTTAATTACCAACGGTTTGTTGCTCGTATTATCCTCTTGGAATGAGTTATGTGGCATCCCTCAATGAATAAGGAAATAAAAGGAAAAATAAATAAATCAGCGTTTTAACAGCAAAATCAAAAGAACCCATGAAAATCACTCGCCTTCCTCCCGACTTTATTGTTTGCACAAGTTTGACCAGCAACAAATAACCACGTTCACACCAACGTTACTCCCTTAAAACCCCCGGGGACGAACAGAGGGATAATTTCCACCGCCCCCATCCCATGGCTCCCGGTTCCTGCGGGATGCTCCCAGCCCTGCAGGTCTCACATCCCCGCCAATTCCAGGTGTGGGCCCGGATTCCAGCAGCTCCCAGCGAGAGCATTGTCACAGAGCTGTCACCCCCTGCCAGCCTGACCCTTTGCACTCCCCAGCTGATTCCAGCGCCTTCCCATTTCCCGCAGGATTCCGGCTGTGTTGTGACCCCTCCAGTCTTTTCCCAGCTCTTCCCTGTCGGGTTTGGAGTCAAGGAGGGAGAGGAGGAGTGGATTCTGCATATTCAGCACTTGACCCAGCCTTTTCCCAGGCAGAAATTCCAACGGGACCTCTCTAGGAGGGATCCCGACAGCTCCCCTGGGCATTCCTTGCTATTGTGGCTCCTCTCCTCTCCCCGAGGCGATGCGTGTTTGTAGTTACCAAATGCAAATCACACTTCCCACCCTCCTGGCTGGAGTTCTCACTCCACAAGACCCTTCCCGTTTTTTTTTTATCCTCTCACCAGCTCGTTTTGCAATGCTGGCGGAGTTCGCAGCCCCTCCCTTGCCACCTCCCTGTGATGTGGGATGCGCTGGGAGGTGGATGGATGGAGGGAAGGCATTGAAGCAATCCCGATTTAGTACCTGCAGCCCCCAGGACGCAGAAACAGCGGCTAATCTGGCGGCTGAAACTCCTTTTTCTGGGCACTGACCCTTAATTGCATTCTAAAGGAAAACTCGAGGCAGCTTTGGCCTCGGGCAGATGGCAGCAGGCAGAGCCAGTCAATGGCACATCAACCACCGATAAACGAGGTTAACTCGCTCCTGGCACTCCCCGACCCAGCTCAACTTCCATCCCCTGCGTCCTCTCGAGCCATCTCCGATTCCTTCCTGCTCACACAGAAACCTGGAGCACATTAAGGGGAGGGGATGTTTTACAAGAAAAGCTCATGCATTGATTCCGTGACCCAGCAGAGACCATTAAAAATGATGGAATGGATATGGAAATGAGTAATCCTCCAGCTGGGCTCGGGCTGAGCGCGGCCAACTCCAGTCAATGGGAACCAAAAATAAAACGGAGCTGCTGGAGCCTCCAGGCAATGCTGGGAGCTGTAGGAATCCACCCGAGGATCCCCATCCCCTTTACCTGTCCTCCTGGTGCTGTGGAGTCCCTCCAGCACCTGTTTGGACTCATCTTTTCTGTCCAAAGGCTGCACCAGCAGGAATCTCATCCCATCCAAGCTCTTGGCCAGATTCCATGCTTAGGGAAATGTGGAAGCCCCCATCCTTGGCTTCCAACTCCTTGCTGTTCACACACTCCCTTGTCTCATCCAGCCGACATTCCCAAGGATCAGAAAATAACCCTGGACTGCCACAGCTTCCAGTACCAGCCCTGAATCCCAGGCAGGCAGTTCCCAAGCAGACAGAGACCTGAGGAAGCAGGGGATAAAACAGGAGCAGAGGAAGGCAGGGATCTGTAATTAAAGGCCAGTGAGAAGCAGAATGAGTTGAAACTGAGCTGGTCCTCAGATATGTGAAAGGAAAAGTATGGACATGGGGCTTTGTGGACACAAGGCTCTCCTTACAGCCTCTTTCTCCAGGACCAGCTTGGAAAGACATGGAGGGAAGATTGTCCTAGAGAACAAGGCACAGAGAGTCATAACATTTATTTAAAAATACACTCCAGAATCCCACTTACAGGAAGTACAGAAAAGAAAGATAATTTCTTGCTTCCCCAAGACCCTGGAGTCTTGTCCCCTCTCCAGGCCAGAATTCCAACACACCTGGTCCCAAAGGGTGGAAGGAGTGGGCTGAAGACCTCAGTGGGCCACAAGGAGGGGCAGGAAGGACAAGCCATGAGAATTTCATGTATTGAGTGTGCTCCCACCTCTGATATGGGGACAGAATCTACAGTGGTGCCATGGCTGGGTTGTTAACACACGCTCAGGGGTGGTTTGCCAGGCTGCTGGTTTTGGCAGCCCCCAGGAGCTCTCCTGTCCCTGATGTCTCTGCCATCAACAAGAGCAGCACCACCTCCATGCATGCACTGGGATGCTGCAGAGGGCCCTGGAGCAGTGTTTTCCCCTGCATGAGCCCACAGCAGAATCCTGTTCCCAAAGGAGCTGCCCATGGCCCCCTCACCCAAAGCAGCAGCATTCCATCCCTACAGCCTTCCCCCAGTGGATAACTCTACCCCCTTCCATCTATCACTCCTGGCTTTCAGGCTGCTGTCAGAATCCTCCTGCAAAGGGACAATGGCAGCCCAGGGTCCCCCGTTCCCCCTGGAGAAAGGGGCCTGTGGAATGATCGATGGCTTTTCCCAGCTGGAGACAAAGGGCTGCCCACTGACCAGCTGCAGGAGGGCAGCTCTTTGTCCTGCCCTGAAGTCTGGCTTGGAAAGGACCGAAGGCATCCCAAAATCTCTCAGTCTGAGGCTTTCCACGAGCAACCAGCCTTCCTGCACAGCCTCCTCCTCGCTGGGGGCATCCCTTGGGATGGGCTCCGGGTGTCCAGCCGTGCCTGGTGGGTGCAGGGGGGGGTTCCCCTCCTCATTTGCAGACGTGTCTCTCCAGGCGGCGCCGGCAGCGCCTGCACACCACGGAGCAGCACCAGCGGTAGCGGCAGTGGCAGCGCTCCTGCACCTCCTCCGTGTAGGTGTTGTAGCCACGGCCACAGCACAGCAGGTCACAGCTGTCACTGCCCACAGAGCTCCTGTTGCACGGCCTGTGGAGAGACGTGGGTGGCACCTGGGCTGGTTGGAAGGGAGCTTAAAGATCACCCTGTGCCACCCCTGCCATGGGCAGCGACACCTTCCACCAGCCCAGGCTGCTCCAAGCCTGTGGGAATCCAGGGCTTCCCTCTATCTGCCCTGGATTGCCTGGGACCCTGGCAGGGGTCAGGAACCCCCCTGGACAGAGCCCCCAGAGACACTGTCTGTGATCTCTGTCCATGGAGAGGAGTTTTAAATCTTACAGGATCAATTACAAGCTCTGAGTGTTTGATATCAGTAATAATTAAGTGTGGCACGGGTGCAAAAGTAAAATTTTAGGTTTCTAGATTAGGGGTTCAAAGGGGACAAGATGGAGGAATTGGGTGTGTCTTGTCCTTTTCCTCCTTCTTCATGCCCTCCATGTTTCACTGCGGTGTTGGCATTTTTCTGTTGGTTTAGGCTGGGGACACACTGTCCAACGTAGGTGACAGATATTGGCACGTTATTGTAAATCCAGCACAGGTAGTTTGTGGTATTTAATGTTTGTACCATCCCACTGAGGGCAGAGCCCCACACGCTGCCCTGCAGGACAGAGCTGCGGCAGGGCAGCAGAACATGTTAGAGACAAACAGAATAAACAACCTTGAAACAGCACAGACCAATTATGGCTTCTGCTTTGGCAACGGGGCAGAAAGACAGAGACTTTCTACAATCTCGGAATCATCAATACCCACAGATTCCGACACAAGCCCTGTCCAACCTGGCCTTGGGCACTTCCAGGGATCCAGGGGCAGCCACAGCTGCTCTGGGCATCCTCTGCCAGGGCCTCATCACCCTCACAGCCAGGAATTCCTTCCCAATATCCCAACTAACCCCGTCAGTGGAAAGCCATTCCCTGGGTCCTGTCCCTCCATCCCTTGTCCCCAGTCCCTCTCCAGCTCTCCTGGAGCCCCTTCAGGCCCTGGAATGGGCTCTGGGGTCACCTTGGAGCCTTCTCCTCTGCAGGTGAGCACCCCCAGCTCTCCCAGCCTGGCTCCAGAGCAGAGTAACTCCAGCCCTGGGAGCAGCTCCATGGGCACACACGGACTTGTTGAACAAGTTCCTGCCCGTCTTGTGTTGGGGTCCCCCGACCTGGACACAGCAGTGCAGGAGGAGTCTCACAAAACAGGGATTCAGGGATCTGCTGCAACATCACCCCAGCCCATCCCCATCAGCTTCCCAGGACACTCAAACCAGCAGAACAGGCACCTGGAATCAGAGGCTGAGCTTTTCCTACCTGTCCTGTGTCCCCAGAGAACCCAGCTGGGGGTTTGGGGTGCAGTAGTCAGGAGAGTTGATGAGATAAACCAGATCCATCTCTGTCACTGGCCTGGCATCCCCCTCCTTGGGGATCAGCTGCTTCCTGGGCCCCACGAGCCGATGGGTGACCTTGAGGGCTGCCAGGTACCTGGATTTGAGGTCAGAGGCAATTTCACCCAGGTCTGGCAGGCCTTTCCAGCAGGTTTTCACTGAGCAGGAGCCTGAAACCCCGTGGCATTTACACCTGGTGTCCAGGGAGTCACTGAGCACCTGCAGGGAAACAGGGGAGTTTGCTCCCTCCTGGTACTGCCCCAGGGCAGTCCCATGGGAGTGCCAAGGCTCAGAGCTCGGGGCAAGCAGGGGCTGAGGCTGCTTCAATCCCTTCTGGTAAGAACCTGATCCCTGGGGAACTTCCCAGGGGAGCTGGCAGCAGGGCTGGAGGCTTCCCAAGCCTCACCCAGGCAACAGGAGTGGATGGAAGCACAAAAACCAGATGGGTTGGGGAGCCCAGCTGGAGTGGGGCAGGATGGGCTCTGTTTCCAGTGAGAGGGGTGGAAAGAAGCACTGGGAGTACTGGTGTGAAATATCAGCTAACTGGGAGCACTGGTGTGAAGTGTCAGACCTGCTGGCTGCAGAAAGGGTACAGGATGTCTGGGGGTGGGCAGCAGTGTGGGTGAGATGTGTCTGCTAACACACTTTTTAACCATTTTGTTGCCTCCTGGTTTTCAGAACATCCCAAAAAACCTGGCTGGCATCTGCTGCCTTACATTAGGGACCTCTGCTCCTGCTGTGAGGGGTGCTGGGCTCCATCTCCCCCAGGGGCCTGGACCCACTGTGTCACCCCTGGGCAGTCCTGGGGGGAGGCTCAGCCCCACTGTGTGAGTCCAGGGGGCTCATACACCCCATCCCAACCTGCAGCAGCCCTGGTGGGCTCTGTATCCCCCATCCCAGAGCACAGCAGCCCTGGTGGGCTCTGTATCCCCCATCCTAGAGCACAGCAGCCCTGGTGGGCTCTGTACCCCCCATCCCAACCTGCAGCAGCCCTGGTGGGCTCTGTATCCCCCATCCCAGAGCACAGCAGCCCTGGTGGGCTCTGTATCACCCATCCCAACCTGCAGCAGCCCTGGTGGGCTCTGTATCACCCATCCCAACCTGCAGCAGCCCTGGTGAGCTCTGTATCCCCCATCCCAACCTGCAGCAGCCCTGGTGAGCTCTGTATCCCCCATCCCAACCTGCAGCAGCCCTGGTGAGCTCTGTATCCCCCATCCCAGAGCACAGCAGCCCTGGTGAGCTCCGTATCCCCCATCCCAACCTGCAGACCCGGGGGTCCCACACCCACCGCCCGTCCCACGGCCCCGTTGTGCCGGTTCACGGCCCGGAGCCCGGGCGTGCCGCCGGTGCCGGTTCTGGCGGAGCCGTCGGTGAAGGCGGCTCCGAGCTGGAGGCCGTGGCTCAGGTTGTCACCGCAGCCACCCCAGCGGGAGCCGGGCTCGGGGGGCTCGGAGGGGCCGGGGCCGCAGGAGCACAGCGGGATCTCTCCGGAGGCGCAGGAGCGGGCGATGCTCTGGGCCACAGCCGCCGCTGCCAGGGCGTGCACGAAGGCGGCTTCCCGTGTTCCTGCGGAGAAAACAGGGATAATTCCTTCCTCCCTGCCCAGCCGGACTCTCCTCGCACACATCTCTCCCTGCAAGGAGTTTCTCTATTGCAGCAGGATAAAGCCAAGGCCTCTCAATTTTTGTGTTTTAACCCGTGGCCCCTGTGTTATGCTGTTGCCCGTAAAGAGAACACAAAACAACCAAAGTCATTTTATGCGGTGCTTTATTGAGGGCCCTGGGAGCCTGAGGACTAATGTCCAAAGTCAGAGCCCCCCGAGCTAACAAATCATTGCGTTTATATAGAGTCTATATCAATGGCTGCTTAATTCAACACATATTTGTCAATGTTGCACTCCAACAATCATTTATTTACAAATTAATCCTTGTTTAAATTGAACATTTTTATGATCATAAATTCTCTTCACTCTGTGAGGTAAAAACAATGTATTCCCCCAAGATCTACCTATTCATCTTGTGAATAATGACATGTTCTACCACAGCCTACTCTTGGAATGTATTCTGAGATAAGTTCCTACCTCGCCAGTATTCCGTACTGCCCTTACCTAACAACTGTTTCTAACAACACACAGCCTATGGCCTACTAAGAATTCTAAGCCTTAGCCAAACTACTTCTACTAAACTTTTGCTAGTCTGAAATGCAACAATGCTGCCTGGATCCCCACCTCTTCCTCCGCTTTTTTGGGAGCCTCTGGCAGTCGTTTGAAATGGAAGTTACTGTCTGTCACCTCCCCTAGACGGAACTTGCACGGGAGGATTAACACCACGTAAAAGCAGGATATTTACCCCAAAAAGGCAGAGTGGGATGCTCCCGGTGTTGCATTTCAGACTAGCAAAAGTTTAGTAGAAGTAGTTTGGCTAAGGCTTAGAATTCTTAGTAGGCCATAGGCTGTGTGTTGTTAGAAACAGTTGTTAGGTAAGGGCAGTACGGAGTACTGGAGAGGCAGGAACTTATCTCAGAATACATAGGCTGTGGTAGAACATGTCATTATTCACAAGATGAATAGGTAGATCTTGGGGCAATACATTGTTTTTACCTCACAGAGTGAAGAGAATTTATGATCATAAAAATGTTCAATTTCAACAAGGATTAATTTGTAAATAAATGATTGTTGGAGTGTAACATCGACAAATATGTGTTGAATTAAGCAACCGTTGACATAGACTCTATATAAACGCAATGATTTGTTAGCTCGGGGGGCTCTGACTTTGGACATTAGTCCTCAGGCTCCCAGGGCCCTCAATAAAGCACCGCATAAAATGACTTTGGTTGTTTTGTGTCTTCTTCACGGGCAACACCGGGGTGGGCAGAGCGGGAGGAGCATCCCTTACCTGTGAGCAGCTCGGGGCCGAAGCTGGGGGCACGCTGGATGGAGGAGCAGTTCCACCTCATGTCTGCAAAGCTCTGCTGGCACAGCTGCTGTGTCCGGCGGGCAGCCCGGACCACGCTGGGCATCAGCTCCAGGTGCCGGCGGCAGAGCTGCAGCCGCTCGGGCAGCAGCAGCCGGCAGTGCTGGCTCTGGTTCCAGGCCACCCCGCTGCCCGCCAGCCCGCTGTGGGGAGAGGTGGGGGTCACTGGGGGGCCACAGCGCCCTGAGGGACTGCCAAGAGGGGCTCTGGAGGGAGAGATTCCCAACTCACAGCCACTGGATGGCTGCGGAGAGCCCCAGCTGGCACAGCAGCGCGGTGGCAGCGGCAGCGGGGAGGCCCATGGTTGGGAGTGGGGCTGGGATGGGGCTGGGATGGGGTTGGGATGGGGACTGGGGAGCTGGGATAAGGCTGGGATGAGGACTGGGAGCTGGGATGGGGACTGGGAGCTGGGATGGGGACTGGGATGGGGGCTGGGAGCTGGGATGGGGCTGGGATGAGGACTGGGAGCTGGGATGGGGCTGGGATGAGGACTGGGATGAGGACTGGGAGCTGGGATGAGGACTGGGAGCTAGGATGGGGCTGGGATGGGGACTGGGAGCTAGGATGGGGCTGGGATGGGGACTGGGACCTGGGATGGGGCTGGGATTGGGACTGGGAGCTGGGATGGGGCTGGGCCCACTCAGCCCCACCACCCCTTTTATAGCAGCGGGTCCTGCCCCCCGGGGAGGGGAACAAAGGCGGTTTCGGTGCCATTGGCAGGGTTAGGGACAAGGAGGGGCTGGAGCACTGCCAGCAGCAGTGACCGTCCCCAAACAGCACCTGGGAGGGGGTTGGGGGATGAGCCACTGCAGGATGCTCCCCCCAGCACCGCCAAGGCCACACTGACCACGTCCCCAAAGTGCCACATGCACAAGGATTTTAAATCACTGCAGGGGTTTGACTCCAGCATTGCCCTGCGTGCCCTTTCCATGAGAAATTTTCCCTAATGTCCAACCAAACCTCCCCTAGCACAGCTGGCCTGACCCCCCCAGCTGCACCCTCCTTTAGGGTCAGCACAGGCTCATCAGTTCTGCTTCTTTCTCTGCCAGGGCAGGGCACCAGGGTGGCTCGTGCCTGTCACAAGGTGCATTTCTTGGGATCTCTCTCTCCTACGAGTACAAAACCAAAAGTGCTGCTTGGAGCCCGAGAGGAACCAGGTAGGTTGGGATTTTCCCACAGTGGGAGGTGACATTTGACACAAGCCCAGCTGACCTCAGGGTTTGGAAGGGGTGACAGGTTGAAACCCACTTTTTAGGCTTTCACTTTCTCCCTGGCTGTGCTACTTCTTCTCTTTCTGGAAGGTGTTTTTCCTTGACAGAAGCAAACTGGGGGCTGGTTGTCATCCCCCCTGTGACCTCTCACCTTGACAGGACATGCCTGGGCGGGTGATTATTGTCCCCTTGTGACCTTCCTTTGACTTGGGATCATGTGCATTGAAATAAGGTCATTGAGTCATTGTCCTTCCCTTGGGATGCAAAGGCCACGGGCTCGTTGTGCTGAAGCAATGGCCCTTGAGGAGGGGTCCCAGGTTACTCCCAAATCCCCCACCAAGTTACAAGGGGAATGGTTAAAGGGCAGAGAGAAAAGGAGCAACACAGGGATGACCCCTAAACACCAAACCTGATGTTTTGGATTCTGTCCCTTGTGGCTTCCAGCTCAACTCCTCCTCAGGGCGTGGATGGTGTCTTGTTTTGGGACCTGGAGGATCTCTGGGGGGTTGTCAGGACAGCCCTGGGGTTGGATGGCAGCTGGGAAGGCACCTGAGCTCCCAGGGGGTTCTGAAGGCATTGGAATGGTCAGGAGGAGCTGCTGGAGAGCAGGAATGAAGGGAGGAACCACTCCAGCACGGGCTGGCAGGAGGGAATTCCCTTCCCAGGTGATGGGAGCTGTGACCAGCACCAGGACAGGGGGGCTGAGTCCCACCCCAACCCTTTCTTTGGGATGGGAGCTGACCCTGGGAGCCGGGCAGTGGAAGCAGCGCCAGCAGAGGGAACCGTGCACCGATGTCACACGCTGCCACCTCCCGCCAGAGGTATTTTTACCAACCCCTCTTCACAGGAAAGTTTTGCAATGACTGAGTAGCAGGAAAAACACAAACCCTTCCTTTTAAAGCAAAGCCAGCCCTCCTTTGAACGTCAATTCCTCTTTTTAGCTCAATCCTTGGAACAAGCAGAGGGTGAGTGCTAAAAATACCCCTTCCTTCCCCTTCCAAGCTGGGCTGGCGGGGGGCAGGAGGGGATTCCCAGCCCAGGGGAGGCCAAAGGAGCCGGGAGAACATTGGGAAAGGTCCTGTCCCCCTGCCTGGTTTGGCCACCCTGGGGACACAGGGGACAGCTCCAGGAGGGGCTAAAGGGGCAGAGCTGGTGCTGGGCCAGAGCTCCTGGGGTGAGGCTTTAGTGGAGGAACAGCAAAGAGCTGTCCTGGAGGGCCAAGGGTTGGTGTCCCTCACTGCTGGGCACCAGGGGCCAAAGCAAACAGCCGTGAGCGGATCCTGACCCTGTCAGCACACAGAGTCCCCATGCGCTGTCCCAGCTCCCCATGTCCCTGACTCCCTGTCAGGGGCAGATCCAGGGACCTTCCAGGGGTTTCCCTGCCACCAAAGTGTCCCCTCAGGCCCCGCTGACCTCGGCTCCCCACCCCAGCCTCACCTACCCCTGCGAGGAGCCACATCCCTTCGCGTGGGGGCTGTGACAGTGCGGTGGCAGTGACGCAGGGGGTGGTGGCACACGGTCATGTGGCACTGACGCTCCATGAGATTCCTGCTGCTGCTGGACACTGGCAGCATCCTGTCCCCTCTGGAGATTGGGGACAGTGGGATGGTCACCCTGGGTGGCAGGAGCCCAGTGTTCCTGCAGGGAAACCATCCCCTTCCTCTTTCCAGAGAGCAGGCTGGGGGTGGCAGGCACCTGATCCTGCAGAGCCACCTCCTGTTGGAATCTGTGGTATTGATGATTCTGAGATTGTAGAAAGTCTCTGTCTTTCTGCCCCATTGCTAAAGAAGAAGCCATAATTTGTCTGTGCTGTTTCAAGGTTGTTTATTCTGTTTATCTCTAACATGTTCTGCTGCCCTGCCGCAGCTCTGTCCTGCAGGGCAGCGTGTGGGGCTCTGCCCTCAGTGGGATGGTACAAACATTAAATACCAGAAACTACCTGTGCTGGATTTACAATAACGTGCCAATATCTGTCACCTACGTTGGACAGTGTGTCCCCAGCCTGAACCTACAGAAAAATGCCAACACCACAGTGAAACATGGAGGGCATGAAGAAGGAGAAAAAGGACACGACACACCCAATTTCCTCCATCTTGTCCCCTCTGAACCCCTAATCTAGAATCCTAAAATTTTACTTTTGCACCCGTGCCACACTTAATTATTACTTATATCAAACACTCAGAGCGGGTAGTTCATCCTGTAAGATTGAAAACTCTTTTCCATGGCCAGAGATCACAGACAGTGTCTCTGGGGGCTCTGTCCAGGGGGGTTCCTGACCCCTGCCAGGGTCCCAGGGCAGCCAGAGGGAAGCCCTGGATTCCCACAACTTCCCAGTGTCACCTGTCCCCACAGCGTCCCAAACCCAAGATAAGGACGATAAGGAGTCCTGTCACCCAGCTGAAGGTACATCCCCTTCCAGAGGGCTGCTGGAGGTACCATTTCTTTCATTTTCCCTGCTATTGCTGCAGCTCCCATTCCCAAATCCTTCTGATCTCACCCAGGCCCATCCTCCTGCCCTGTTCTGTGCTCCTGGGAGCAGGGACAGTGGGTCTGCATGGGGGCACAACACGGGGTGACACTTCCCTGTGCCCTCGGCAGTGTCCCCATGCAGGCACAGCTGGGAGGGAGGATCCAGCTGCAGAACATCTGGCACATCTGTCCCAGGGAGGTGACACTGCAGAGGCAGGAGGGACCCGGGGGGACACGTCCCACATCTGCCACACCCCGAGGCGCCTTGGGATGGAGGTCCCAGCCCGGCCAGAGCCCCTGGAGAGGAGGAAAAGTGTCATGAACGACACGCCCGGGCTGCCCCACGGGCTGGGAAGAGCTGCCAGGGGAGCTGTGCCAGTCACGGAGCCGCTGTGGCACGGAGGGATAATGGGAAGCAGCCCTACGGATGGGAGGGACACAGGGAGGTGTCCTGGAGGTGCCACCAGCCTCTTGTCCCATCCCAAAGCCACAGAGAAAGTGCCACATTCACCAGGAGCACATCCCAGGCAGCCAGAACACGGCAGGAGGATGGGCCTGGGTGAGAGCAAAAGGATTTAGGAATGGGAGCTGCAGCAATATCAGGGAAAATGAAATAAATGGTACCTCCAGCAGCCCTCTGGAAGGGGATGTACCTTCAGCTGGGTGACAGGACTCCTAATCATCCTTATCTTATCAGGACTGGGGAGATTTAGGTTAATTTGGGCTCTGTTTGAACAGAGAGGAGGAGAAACGCTCTCCTCTCCTCCTCCCAGGCTGAGCAGGGAGACCTGCCAGGCACTTCCCAGCATATCCTGCAGCTCCTGCAGCAGATGAAGCTCTGCTTCATGAAAAAAAAAAGACAAAAAAAACCCCAAAAAACAAAAAAATGAGGGAAAAGGGGAAAAAAAAAGAAGAAAAAGGGGAAAAGCAAAACTGCTGTAATTGAAGCGAGTTGAGGGAAGGTAATTTCCACCTGGGTTAGTGAAACAGCTCGGTGGAAATTTTTGATAAAAATCTATTCTTCTTAGAAAATGCAGATCCAGGGAAATGTGGAGGCTTTCCACTGGAAAGAATGAGTTCTGCTGGATTTCTCAACCAGTTCTCTAGAAAATTTGTCAATGGTCACAACATTTTAATCACTGCTGCTTTTTTTGTCAGACCAAAATTTACACTCCTGCCGCCTCCCAGCCTGACAAGAAAATGCAACATTTTTGGCATGGCCGTTTTTATTTGTTCAAAATTTAATATTCTACAGATCTTTTGCCTTCCTTCTGGATCAAGAAAACACTGGAAATGCCAAGACATGCCTGGGATAGGGAAACAATTTCCTCTAAGGCACGGGAAGCTCCGGATGAGGAGCAGCACAGAACTCAGCACAGAGCCTGGGTTTCTCTTGGCCTCGTGCTGGTTCTGGGGACACAAACGTGGTTTGGTGCCATCTCATTGTCCCCTGGGCCAGCACAGGCTCACCTCGTGTCCTGCTCCTGGCCAAGCTGTTCCTGGGGCTGGAAGAAGGGGACATTGCCCTCAGATTCAATTCTTGGCAAGTGCACGAGAGCACAACCTGGAATCCCATTTTCCTTTGAGGCAGGAGAGCATACAGACATCAATAATGGTGAGAACACAGCACCATTGCCCTGGAGCATTTTCCACACCTTCACAGCCCCTCCTCAGCCTGGGAAATTCTCCCTCTTACCCCCTTACCCTGGGCTTTACAGAATCCTTAGGGTTGGAAAAACCCTCTGAGATCAAGTCCAGTTATTTGGGAGCTTTTTCCGTGGGGTAAAACCAGCCCCAGGATTCTCCCCCCTCTATTTTTACTGAGTTTTTCAGCAGCTGCTTCAATCCCCAGAGAAACTTCAGCACCAGCAGCTGCTGTCCCCAAGTGCCACTGCCCTGAAGGGGTCAACCCCTGCCAGCTGCTGACACGACACTGGATAAACAGGGCTGGGGACACTCAGGATGCCCGAGGCAGCGCCTGGCACCGAGTGCCCTGAGCACCCGGCGGTGTCCCCGCCTGTCCCCAGATCCCAGCTAACCAGGGACACGCTGTGGGAGCGGCAGCACAAAGCCAGGACATCTCCTGGTGACACCAGTGGGGAGCACAGCCTGGGAAGGGGCTAAACGAGGAGCAGAGGCCACGAAAATGCAGCAGAAACACCCGGTGAAGGCACTTGGGGCCCTGAGGTGTCCCTGCAATGTCACCCAGCGCTGGGGCAGGAGGCTGGCCTGGCACTGGGGTGTGCTGAGCTCTGGAAAAGCAAATCCTACCCTGGGGACAGTCTGAACTCACCTGGGGACACTGGGGAAGCAGGTCCCTGCCCTAGGGAGCTCAGGTGCCACCCGAGGATGGGGGACAGTGCTGGGGAGAAGCCCCAGCAGCTCCTGGGACACTCCATGCCCAGAGCCCAGCTGGCTGTGGCTCCCCAGGGACAGCACTGGGGATGGGAGGGGACAAAGGTGGGTGTGAGACTGGGATTTTGTCACCTGTGGGACACAGGAACTGGAGCTCCAAGGGGAAGGGGTGTGTGGGAGCAGGAGATCCAGCAAACAGCAGCCCTGACAGAAGGCTGGGTTCCCTCCTGTCCCCAAGGTCCTGCAGGGTGGTGACACACAGTGACAGGCTCCCCTGCCATTGCCACTCACTGTGACAGGGCACAGAGCTCTGCAGAGGGAAACTGAGGCAGGGGTGGAAATGTGGGGGCCACCAAAGTCACCAGGGGTCCTGGAGCTGTATGCCCAGCAAAGGACAGGAAGCTGAAGCCCTGATATATTTTACACCAAAAATGCCCTTTCTCCTTCCCAGTAAAACCATTATAAGCTTCAAAGAAAAAAAGAAAAAGGAAGACAATTAAGCAATTGGGATTTTAAGTAACTTCCAAGCCCTTTTGCTCCCACAGCTCCAACCCACCAGGTGTGTGGAGGTGACTGGGCCCAGCTGGGGATTTCCAAGGTGGAACCAAATGGATGTGAAATGTTAAAGGTTTCACTGCAGCCTCCGTTTTATATTTCCTGGAGCTGGCTCAGCCCTTCAGGTGCTCCCACTCTGCCCTGGGAAGCTGGGCAGGTCACCCAAGAGAGAGATGGACACCACCACACAGTGACATCCCACTCAACACCTCCTCCTGCTGCCTTGCTGAGCTGGGGTCTGAGCCCCTGGGTCATCCCTGGCTTTGGGGGGTGCTCAGAGGGTGCCAGATCCACCCAGGACCACGACTTGGGCAGCACTTACCTCGTGCTGGGACCAGCTGTCTCTGCCACTGTCACCTCGGGGGTCCTGGCACTGAGGCTGGGACATCAGACAGATGACAGGGACAGCACAAACCCCCACTTCTCCCATTCCCATTATCCCAGTGGGTGAGGACAGGGTGGAATTCCTCCCAGCATCTGCAGCAAGGAAAGGCAGCAGAGAGGTGGGCAGGGTCCCACAGAAACCCCCTCCTCATCCCAGCACTGAGAGCCACCACCAAGCACCATTCCCAGTCCCTGCTTCCTCCTGGATTAGGGAATGCCTCAGGAGCAGGGAGTTAGCAGAGCTATTAAACCTTCTTAAAGGGGCTGCTGGGCTAGCTGGGAAACAGCCAGGTGGCCACCATGGAGACAATTCCCAGCCAGCTGAGTGTGATGTGGAGGGAGAGGGGTGCTCAGTGCAGCCAGCTCAGGGCTTGGTTTCCTGAGATGGGAATGTGTTATGGCACCCCAAATTCCGTGTTTAATTTCTGGCAGGGATCAGAGAGGATTGGGGAATGTCCCTTCTGGAGAAGGGGAGGTGGCTCAGAGCCCAGCACCCCCCACACTCCTGTCACTGGGTTCAAAAATCACACAGGTACCAGCGAGACTTCCACCACAATAATATTATTAATATTAATATTATTAATAATAATTAGAGTTCTGGCTGATGGCTGCAGGTCTGGGCTACACTTTGGTGATGCTGTCAGGTGGCCTCTCCTCGGCTGGCCCCTGTCCTTTGGGATGGGGCTGGGACACTCCCACCCTGTTGCTCTCAAGTCCCGCACATCCCGGAGCCTTCCGCCCTTTCCTCAGGAGGCAGAAAGCCCAGGCACCGAGGAGGGAAATGCCTATCAGGGCCAGCAGCAGGGCCAGGGAGGCAGTGTCCCTGGGCTGGGGACAGATCCAGCGGGGAGTGTCGGTGATCCTGGCCGAGACGCTCCGGCCGCGCTCCTGGAAGACGCAGCGGGCCTGGCGCAGGTCGGGCACGGCCACTCCGGCCGCACGCAGCGCATCCAGCCAGCCCAGCGAGCAGCAGCTCCAGGGGTTCCCGGCCATGGACACCGCCCTCAGGCTGTGGGACCAGCTCCTGACTGTTCCCAAGGCCTGCAGGCGGTTGTTCCGAACGTCCAGGCTCTCCAGCGGGGAGCAGGAGAGCCCCGTGGGCAGCAGCCTCAGGTGGTTGCCTGACAGGTCCAATGCTCGGAGCGCGCCCAGGCAGGGCAGCGCTGCCTCGTCCATCTGGTTGTCCCTCAGAGAGAGCTCCTGCAGGGACAGCTCCAGCCCTGCCAGTGCTCCCGTGGGCATGGACAAGTCCCTGTTTCCCGACAGGTCCAAGGAGAGCAGCGGGGTCCGGTTGAAGGCATGGGGCTGCAGCCTGGAGATGTTGTTCTTGGACAGGCTCAGGTGCTTCAAGTGAGGCACGTTGTAGAAGGGGGTGCAGGTGTCTCTGGGGGCTGATGTGTGAGAATCCCCTCCCAAATCCCTTCCCTGGTCACTGCCCTGGCTCTCACAAGGCTGGAGGCTGTTGGAGCCCAGATCCATGGATTCCAGGTGAGGCAGGGAATCGAAGAACCAGCGTGGCAGCACACGGAGGGCGTTGCTGTGGAGGTCCAGCGAGCGCACAGACAGCTCCGTGCCATTGCTGACCGACTCCCTGGCCACGTCCTGGAGACAGTTCCTTGCCAGGCTGAGGCTGTGCAGGGAACCCAGACCGTGGAAGAAGGAAAATGGGAACAGCTCCAGGCGGTTATTGCTGAGATCCAGGTCAGCCACGTGTGTCAGGGCGGCCACGGGACGCACGGTCCTGTTGAACCTCTGCATCTCCTTGTAGGGCAGGACAAACTCCCTGGGATGGGGAGAGCCTGGGAGCAGGGAAGCAATGAGGTTGTTGGAGAGGTTTAAGTGTGTGAGATTATGGGCTCTGGGGAGCTCTGGAAAATAGAGGAGTCTGTTATGGCTCAAGTCGAGCACTCGGAGCAGGTAGGGCTCCGCTCCCTCCTCCTCAGAGAAGAGCTCCAGGGCGTTGTGGCTGAGGTTTAAAACTCGCAGCTGCGTGAGGCTGAAGCCAGAGATACAGTGGAGGGAATTCAAAGCCAAGTTCAGCACCTCCAGCTCTTCCAGAGGCTCAAAGGCTCCCTCCTGGATCTCCATGATGTAGTTGTTGCTGAGGTCGAGCTGGCGCAGCCGCGGTGAGTTCTGGAAGGTCCCTGCCAGCAGCTTGGTCATTGTGTTCCCGGAGAGATCCAGCACCCTCAGGCTGGTGAGGTTGCTGATGTACCAGCTGGCCATGTGGCTCTCCAGGTTATTCACAGACAGGTCCAGGACCTCTATATTCCTGAGCAGATGGAAAGCTTCCCCGTTAGCCAAGTAATTCCGGTCCAGGTGGTTGGATCCCAGGAGGAGCGAGCGCAGCCGAGGCAGCTCAGCCAGGGCGGCGGCTGACACGGATTCCAGCTGGTTGGAGCACACATCCAGGTACTCCAGCTGCCCAAATCCTGGCATGTTGCTGCCTGACAGGTTTTGGATGAAGTTGTTGGAGAGTTCAAGGTACTTAATTCCTTGGCCAAGCCCCTTGGGAAATTTCCGCAGGCCAACTCCTTTGCAAGACACCTTCGTGGGGCTCTGTGGAAAGACAGGAGAGGTGTGAGTGAGGGGGGGCTACAAACCACAGCTCCAGGCAAGCCAGCTGCTGTCCAGGATGGGCATGAGAAGTGGGAATGAGCACTGCTCCCCCTTCCCAAGCCCAGCTGATCCAGAGCATCCCTGTTTAGGCAGAGGAATGGCACTGTGTAGCTTCCACCTTTCCTCTTTCTCCAGTTTCCTCTGGAGTTGGGAATCTGGATGGGGAGCTGCTGATTTCTTTCTGGGGAGACACAAACCTGCTGTTCCCCATCCAGACTCCCAGCTGCCTCACTGGATCCCTGCACTCCATCCTCTGAGCACCTCAGGCATGGCAAAGACGTGGGAGCAGCTGGATGCCAGGGACCACCTCACAGGAGACCAGCTCCAAGGCAGGAAAATAGAGACAAAGTTAAAGAGATGGAGGCTGGAGGGGAAGGTGAGAGCCACAGGGAGGAGATCCAGGGTGACGCTGGCAGCCCCAGCCACGCTGCTGGAGCCATCCCAGCCCAGGTGCTCCTTGGAAAACAGCCTTACCTGCTGGCACAGAGGGGAGCTGGGCCTCGTCTCCGGGCTAGCCCGGGCCCTGAGGATGGACGGGAGCAGCCAGAGCAGGAACCATCCCCGAGCAGCCCAGAGCATGTTGGGCTGCGGGCGCTGCCAGCCCCGTCCCGCTCCTGCGGCGTCGCTGGCAGGCTGGGCAGGAGCCAGGCTCTGTATAAATAGGCTTCAGGATGGGATGGGGGAAGGAGATAAGGCATGTGGGTGTTCGTAGCTACGGAAGTGGGAAAAGAAAGACATCAGCTCGCAGAGGGGGAAAAACGGCACAAAGCCACAGGGAAGGGAAAGAGAAACGGCAGGATGGGGAGGAGGGAGCTCAGGTGACAGGCTGGGTCCGCTGTGACATCAAATGCCAGGAGGCAGAGGTGGCACGTAGGAAAGCTGAGAGGGTTTGGGGGAGTTTCCCTGTGCCAGGGACAGGATGTGGCAGCTCCGGGACACCAGGGGCAGCTGGCGAGGGCTCTGCAGCCATCCTGAGCCAGGGACAGCTCCTGGCTGTGGGATCACCCGACTGGCACACCCAGGCAGTGCCATTCCGTCCCCAGCCGCGGGGACTCTGCCTCTCTCAGGAAACAGCAGCTTCCCAGCAGGATGTGCAGCCTGGGATCCCTCTCCTCCTCCTCTCCCTCTCCAGGGCTCTGTGGGCTCCTCGCTGTCGCTGCCGGGTCACCGCCTCGCCCAGGGCAGAACCAGAAGGGATCTGTCCTTGTGGCAGCTCCAGGTGGGATCTGCGCACCGGGAGCAGTGCCCCACACACAGGGACATGTTTTGGTGATGGCATCTCCATGTCCTTGTGCCACCTAGTGCTGACACACTCCTTGGGGACACGCCCCTCATGCTTCACGGGGCACTCTCCAAAATGCACAGTTTGGGGTTTTTTGGCTCAATGTGGCTAATTCCATGTGAAGGAACAACTCAAGCTGCTGAAAGGTTGTCCAAGGATGTGCAGTTTCAGCCACAGAGCTCATGCTGTAATCCTGGAGGTGTCTGGCCAGAAAAAAATAATATATAGACATAAAATACATAAATAAATAAGATTATGAATATAGATTATTTATAAACATCTATGTACACACAGAGTTACACATCTGAGCTATCCCTCACCCTCTGACAGTCAGCGTGGTGGGGGAACACTCTGCCACCTCAGGATGTGACTCAGCCTTGAGCTGGCCCAGTGTCCCCAGCATCCAGGTCAGGCAGGACAGCGGTGACAGCCCAGGGACAGCATTTTGGACTGGAGCCCCACGGTGCCGGGGCTGTGGCAGGGCTGGAGGCAGCAGCGAGCACACAGCACATCTGTGCAGATGTGAGCTCCTGCCAGGGAAACACCGACCTCGGGATGACCCCCGCGCCCTCCCAAAAGCAGAACCAGCACATCCAGCCCTGCCACGCCCCGGGAAGCCCGGCCTGTCCCCCTGCACCTCAGCTGCTGGACACGGGTCTGCACGGTGACACAGCCCCTGTCAGCAGCTGAAAAGTCCCTGATTTGGATCAGGGACTTCTGCAGAGAACCCCTGGGCATTTGCATCCCAAGCTGTGAACTTCCTTCGCGGGAGCACTGGGCGTGGATCAGGCCCGGCAAACAGCGAGACGCTTTCCTTGGATTGTGACAAAGGCAGAGCGAAGCACATGGCCTGAGCAGGGACAGATCTGCTCTGAAACCAGCTACCCTGTGCTCCTTGGCCTTCCTGCCCTCCCTGCCGCCTCCAGGGCTCCAGCAGGATCTGCTGGAGAGATTCCCTGTTCCCCCCGAGGCTTTTGTGGGAGAAGTCTCCAAAGGATGTGAGGAATGAGCAGCAGGACTGAGGTGTGGAGGAAGCAGGGACAGAACCACCTGCCCAGGTCACATCTGTGCTGTGGCTGATGGGCTCCAGCCTGGGTGTTTGGGAGCAGAAGGATACCTGGTGATCCAAGTCCATCGGATCTGCCTTTCCCTCCCGGCATTCCCAGGCACTGGGAAGGTGACTCCTGAGCAGCTCTGATCCCAGCCAGGGGATGGTGCCTCTCCCACCCTGAAGGACAGAGCTGTCCCCTCGCAGACCTCACCAACACTCTGCTGTGGCCATGCAGACCTTCCATGGGAGCTCCTGGTGTGGCTGGGGAGGGACATCCCACCGAGAGCAGCAAAGAGCTGTATTTGCCAAGGCCACCTGCAGCCAATTCCATGTCTCCAACTCACACTTTGGTTAGTGTGAGCACCAGAAAAAGCCTGTTAACACATTCCACGAAGGAATTGCTCCCTTCTGCCCTCCTCTTGCATCCCAAGCACGCACCAGGAAGAATTTCCACGCAGGAATGGATCTCTCCTGCTCTTGCAACATCCCGAGCACACTCCACAGGAGACAGCAACACTGGCCTTTTACAGAGCAAAGGGATTCTCCCTCTGCCTCCCCCTGCCCACAGCCATGGAGCACATCCCAGATCCTGCTAGCGGGGGACAAGGAATGCAAACTCCATCCCCGGCTCTCCCAACCCCCTGTTATTTATGGCTGCCCCCAGCCTTGCTGCTCAGGCCAGTTCTGAAGCAGCCCTGTTAACGATTTGCTCCATGTTCTCACTGTACACAGTTGTCCCGCTTCATTCTTGTCACAGGAACATGTCCCTCTTAATCCATTTGAAAGGAAAGAAAACCACAAAGCCCAGTGAAGAGCCCCCAAGGCTCTTGCCCGTCCCACATGTCGAGGCTGAAGGGAGGAGAAGCCACTAAAAAGCCAGAGCAGCCCATTTGTCACGCAGTTGTTTCCCGAAGCGCACGGCTCCTGTGAATAGCGAGGCTGCAGCCAACGCCGCTGCCCCGAGGAATTTTTGTCTCCCAATAACTGCAACACTTGGCAAGGGACATCACTCGCTAGGGCTGGAGCCAGGAATGCTCCAGGCAGGGCGGACCCTCTGTGGCCACGGCACAGCGCTGGGACACACGTCCCTCCCACACCCTGCAGGTGACCATGAGCCACCTCTGCATGGAGCCAGCACCAAGATCATGGAATCACAGCACTGGGCTGGGGAAACAAACAGTTCCATGCCCTGCCACAGACAGGGACATCTTCCACCAGCCCAGGTTGCTCCAAACCCCATCCAACCTGGCCTTGGATACTTCCAGGGATCCAGGGGCAGCCACAGCCTCAGCACCATCACAGGGAAGGATTCCTTCCCAATACCCCATCTAATCCTGCCCTCTGGCAGTGGGGAGCCATTCCCCCTTGTCCTGTCACTCCAGGCCCTTGTCCAAAGTCCCTCTCCAGCTCTCCAAGAGCCCCTTTAGGCACTGAGGTCCCCAAAACCTTCCCTGTTCCAGACTGAAGATGTCACTTTGGGATTTGTCCCGTTTCTACACGGGCTGCAACTTCATTCCCCTCTTGAAAGCACAAACAAGCTCTGGAAAGAAACACAGGGAAACAAAACCCCAACCAAGCTGAGCAAGTGTGAGCCAAGGGCTGAGACAACAGAGCAATTTGTGCCTCTTATGGCTCAGAGCATCTTATGGCTTTAGGTCTCCCCAGCTGAGGGGAGGTAACGGGACAGAGTTGCTCAAGAAGCCAAAAGAAACAATAGTGTCCCAGCTCCTCTATTAGTCACCAGAAATCAAGTTATGACTAGACCCAGCAGGGCTCAGAGAAAAGAAAAAGTGGTGACTTCATGCTGGACCGGATTTTAAAATCCCATTTTTTTTCCCTTTGCTAAAGTCTCCATCACCACTTATTTTAGGTAGAAGGGTGCCAAAAGGAAAGGGGTGGGGAGAGGAAGGCTAAAAGCCACATCTAAAAGCAGGACAGTTGCTATTAAAACAGAAAAAAAAAAATCCTGTTTGAATATTTTATTCTTAAACATAACAAACTTCCTCCGAGTGTTGTCACAAGTACTTGTGGCTGCTCTACGTGGCTCGGTGAAGCCTGTAGAAATGTGTTCTGGTTTGCAAAATATTAATTAAAAAGAACAAAACAACTCCCCCCCCCAAAAAAAACCAAACCAAAACAAAAAAAAAACAAAACCAAAATACCCCCAACCCAACTCAACTTGCTGTAACAGCAGCAGTACTTGAAGGCAGCCCCCGCTGGGGCAAGGTTACCTCTGGGGTAAGGGCAGGAGCTGAAAGGAGCAGAGGCCTGGACCCGGGAATCGGCGTTTTCTTTGGGATTTGGTGGTTTCTGGAATGTGGAGGCAGTTTCCTATCTGCTAAGCCTGCTCTAGTTATTCCTCTTCCTCTCGCACTTCCTGCTTTTGCTTCCAAGCTCTAGGTCGAGGCACTTTTCCTCCTCCTGAGGATGAATGTAAACACCACTGACCCTGTCTCACCCACCTCCCCTCGCCCCCCAGCCCTTCCAGCTCCCCCTGGGAAGGCAGGAAGCCAGAACCCCTTCCTGGCTGTCGTTAGGGTGCACATGCAGGAGCCTGGCTGGGATTTTGGGGCAGGAGTCCGTGTCCTCCCGCTCCCGCCAGGGATGCTCGTGCCAGTGCCGACACCCGAGCAGAGCCCCCAGCTCTCCCGCCAAGCCTCGTGTGAAGATCACAGAGCAGAGTATCAGTGCAGCAATACTTGAAATACTGAGACAAGGCACACCCAACAGCCTTTCCTCCTCACAACGCTCTCCCCACCAGCTTTTTGGCTTGATCCGAGTCTCCCCGCGAGTCACAGAGGACAATTGTGCTTCCTGCATTCACATATAGGAATAAATAGCTCTGGATCAGTTTCCTTTATGGCCGGATTACAGAACCCCTGAAATACTGATACGCTTTATGAACAGCAGCACTGTGCAGTTCCGTGGGTGTCCTTGGCCACGCCAAGTTCCTCTCTAGGACGCGGGTGCATCTCCCAGGCGGATGGCCCCAAAGAAAGTCGTGTGCTTGCTCATGTTGATGGAGATGTCAGCGTGGACCATCTTCACGGCGATCTTCTGCCTGGCCTTGAGCAGGCACACCCCAGCCGTGTAGCAGGTGTTGAAGTTGGTCTTGCCGGTCTCGATGCTCCGAGTGCACTGCAGAAAGGGCTTCTCGTCCACCACCACCTCGTAGCTGGCAAAATCGGTGAAGTTGATGTAGTAGACCTGATGCGAAGTGGGGAGAAGAAAGGTGTCAGGGAGGGGGTCGGGGTGTGGGGGGCAAGCGCAGCGTCCTGGGGGTGTGTGCAGCCCCTCCTGGCCCCGACACCTGCGCTCACAGGTGACTTGTGCGAGGCAGGGAGAGCCCCAAACCAACCAGGAACCTCTCTGATTCCGCTTCAGACTGACCCAAGCATGCAAAAACCCCTGAATCCATGTACCTAAGGCTGAGCTACCATCCTGCTTATTCCAGGGAAGTGAACAGCTTCGCACCCCACACACAGACACACACACCCCACTGAAGGCCTCTTGCACTTACCTGCCCAGTCCTGCTTCCTGAAGCCAGGAGCCTCCTTTAGTGGTGACATCAGAACTGCCCTAAGGTGGCCTGGGAGCTGTCTCCTGGGTAACTGGACTCGGTGCTTGCACAGGCATGAGCTATTGCAGGGAAAAGGCCCTCCCAACCTCCACAGCTTGGAAGGAAATCACCTCACAGTGCTTCTACTGATTGAATTCCCTGACTTCCAAGGCCCTGTGACTCTGCTTGTCCTCACCTAAACCTCTCCCATACTCTGATTCCAAAGAGCTGCAGGAGGAAGACCTGTCCAAGGAGAAGTCAGTCTCAGGGAGCTGCTTCCTCCTGAGAAAGGAAATCCAGCCCTTCTGGAGGCAGGAGCTGCCTGAACACTGAATCCCTTTTGATTCCTTGATGGACCACAGATGATGAGGCTTCACTGGTCCAACACTGTGTCCACAATCAGCATCAAGCACTTGGGACACAATTATACTTTGACCCATGTGGAGTTATATTTTCTGTCCCCATCCAAACTGGGCACATGTCACCAATTCCATGGAAAAGCACCTGACATCCGTGGCCCACTTCATCCCAGAGCCGGTTCTGGGGAGGAGCTACACGGAGCAGGGGGAGGCAAATGGAGTCACCTGGGCTGGAATCTGGCCAAACCACCTGGGCTGGGAGTCCTGTGCTTCCAGAGCTCCAAAACAACCACAAATAACCAGTGTTGGGGTCTTTTAAAGCACTGAGCTCAGCGTGCTGCCTGCAGGGAGGTTTGGAAGGCTCGGGAAATGAGCAAGTGGAGGGATAACCCCGGGACTGGTGTGCTTTCAGTGACTGATCCCTGGCGGGCGGTGTCCTGGCGGTGACAGGGGTGTGACACTCCTCCCCACACCCCTCCTGAGCCGAAGCTTTACAGCTCCGCACAAGCTTCTGGCATTTGGCTGTTGTCTGGAGCCCTCTCGTGGTTCATGCAAGGCTTCCACCGGAACACAAGAATAGGAGGAGTTAGCCTAGGACCGTACTCACTTCTACCTGACTATAGATGAAGTATGTGCCGTCCACCAGTACCTCCAGCTCCCCACTGCGGGCATGCAGCTTAAACACCTTGGGGTTCAGAGTGATGCGAGACCAGTCATTGAGGACTCCACCTGAAAGATCTCAGTATGAGAAAACGGCGGTCACTCAGTACCCGTCAGGAGGAAAAGCGCAGGAGCAACACAAATACAGTCACAGCACCACAGGGAGGGGGAATTCGGAGGGGGAACCCCAGGGTTACATGATAGGGAGTGGGAGCAGGGACTCTTCTCTAGCTCTGAGCACACACCATGGCTTGTGGGGTCGCCTGCCCCTCCACCTCAAAACCCAGCACAGGGCCTGCTGTGCTCTGCTCATCCCAGGGCTGGACACGGACCTGCCTCCTCCTGACCCTGCAGCTGAGCTTGTTTGATCCCTATTCCCTACTGTGTCCATGGCAATGGTTGTCATGGAATCATCACGGAATGGTTTGGATGGGAAGGGACCTTAAAACTCATTTCATTCTACCCCCTGCCATGGGCAGGGACACCTTCCACTGTCACAGGTTGCTCCAAGCCCTGTCCAAGCTGGCCTTGGACACTTCCAAGGATCCAGGGGCAGCCACAGCTGCTCTAAGCACCCTGTGCCAGGGCCTCAGCACCTTCACATGGAAGGATTTCT